GGTGGGGGGAAGGGGAAGGGGGCTGATGGGCATGGAGGAGGGCACTTGTGGGGATGAGCACTGGGTGTTATATGGAAACCAACTTGACAATGAACTATTTTTAAAAAAATAAATAAATTCAGAAAACATGCAACTCTTGGCTCTTGGGGTCATGAGTTCAAGCCCCGTGGTGGAAGTAGAGTTTACTTAAAAAGTAATAAACCTAAAAATAGCTCCAGCCCTCCCTCCTGGTCCACATAACTCAGTACAACAGTTCAATCACTGAATGTGGCTGTCCCTGGGATGGGACCATCTCCCCTTGGCTATGTCCTTTGTAATGATCAGGAGGAGATGGGTGGAGTTTAGATAGACCAGATTTAAAAAGTCACTGGGGCACCTGGCTGTGGCTGGCTCAGTTGGTAGAGCATGCCACTCTTGACTCAGGGTTGTGAGTTTGAACCCCATGTTGGGTGTAAATCTTTAGAAAATAAAAAATAAAAAATTCAGGGTTCTACACTCACCGTTCCTGGACATATGATTCTTCATTTCCCGTAACACTAGCCCCAGCCTGGCTGGTGCATCTCCCGGGCAGCAGTTCAAAGGGGACCTAGAAGATTTACACTGAATTGTGGCTCAACCCCCTAGGTTCTCTTGCTGGACGGATGTGGTCCTGGATCGTGAGAAGAGCTAGAGTGCTTGGTGGGTACGCCTCTCTCTTTGAGTCCCCAGCAGTGACCCACATGTGCCCTGGGGGACATAATGAGGCCCTGTAAGTTTTATAAAAATGTCCTTGAGGGGCGCCTAGGTGGCTTAGTCGGTTAAGCGTCCGACTTTCGCTTAGGTCATGATCTCGCGGTTCGTGGGTTCGAGCCCCGCGTCGGGCTCTGTGCTGACTGCCAGCTCAGAGCCTGGAGCCTTTTTCAGATTCTGTGTCTCCCTCTCTCTCTGACCCTCCCCTGCTCACGCTGTCTCTCTCTCTCCTAGAAATAAATAAAAAAATATTTAAAAAAAAATTAAAAAAAAAATAAATAAAAATGTCCTTGTCCTTCCTGCACCGGACGCTTCCAGATGAAAGGTGTCTGTAGGGAATGAATGATCGGGAAAAGGTGAAGTTCTGGCTACTGGTACAAAATAGATTGATTTTGTAACAATGGAAGTAAAACAACCGCCTCGGCAGCTGGGGAAGGAGCACCGCAGACACAGGAGACATGAAGGAGAGACATTGATGATCTTCGTCTTTCCAACCCACCTGGAGCCTCTCTTACTAAGGAAAACATCCTGGTCCAATGCATGCAAACTGTCACAAGTGCCTGAAATGTAACTGACGTCTGGGTCTGTTATCCTCCACTCGACAGCTTTGACCTTGGTTTGATTGCCATTCTGCTTAAGCCGAGAGACTGCAGTCAGCAGGCGGTAGCCTCAGCTCCTCTGCTTCCTAGACGAATCACCTGCCAACACCGGCATCTCCAGGTGTTTCTCATCCCCAATCCTGCAGCCATCGTCACTCAGAGATTCCCTGAGGTAGATGAATCCCGTCTGGCTGGCAGCATGGACAACCCAAACAGCGTGAGCCCTCAGTCAGTCCCTCCAAAAACAAAGGCTAGACTCAATTATTTGACTTGGACTAGTATCTCTAAGGCTACTAGCTTGTGGAGAAGCTACATTGGAGGCACTGTCCATTGTGCTCCCCAACTGATGTGGGTCCCACTTGGGGGGGGGTGCCAGGTTTCTTCCCAGAAGCACCATGTCCACCCTTGAGACTGTACAATTTGTGTGGAAGTCAAATATCAACTTGCCTCTTCCTTGAAAACAGGATGACTTGAAATTTATCTGACTTTAGTTGAAGAAATCCGTGGCACCCCCTTGGCCTAGAAGGCTTTTAGGAGAGTTTTAAATGTTTTTTTTGTTTTTGTTTTTGTTTTTATTTCTAGGAGAGAGAGAGAGAGACAGCGTGAGCAGGGGAGGGTCAGAGAGAGAGGGAGTCACAGACTGAAACAGGCTCCAGGCTCTGAGCTGGCAGTCAGCACAGAGCCCGACGCGGGGCTCGAACCCACGAACCGCGAGATCATGACCCGAGCGAAAGTCGGACGCTTAACCAACTACGCCACCCAGGCGCCCCTTAGGAGAGTTTTAAATCACTAACTATGTTAGAATTTCCCTGGACTTCTTCCTTGCCAGCCACGGCAGAGTCTGTGCAACTGTGAGATATTCTGCTGTATCTACTTGGGTTAAAACTTCTGGTTAAGTGGAAAGGTTGATACAGAGAGCTAAGAAGCAAGCAACCGGGCTTTTTTTTTTTTTTTTTAAAGCAGGCTTCACACCCAGCATGGAGCCTGATGTGGGGCTTGAACTCAAGACCCTGAGACCAAGACCTGAACTGGGGGGGGCGCTTGGGTAGCTCAGTCAGTTAGGTGTCCAACTTCAGCTCAGGTCATGATCTCATGGTTCATGAGTTTGAGTCCCTCATCGGGCTCTGTGTTGACAGCTCGGAGCCTGCAGGCTGCTTCGGATTCTGCTCCCTCGTTCTTTGCCCCTCTCCCACTCACGCTCTGTCTCTCTCTCAAAAAAAAATAAACATTAAAAAAAAAAAAAAAAGACCTGAACCCAGATCAAGAGTCAGATGATCAGCTGGTCCCCCCACAACCTCGCTTTTTAAGGGAGATCTGATGCTTTATGAATTTGTTGAACTAGGACCCTGAAGGGCATGGTTGAGGTTGAGGTCAGTACTATAAATTGGCCTCATTCTGCTGCTTGAATTCCTGATGAGAGAAGCCTTAAGTAATGCTGTGTGGGACAAATTGAACAGATTTGGTCCCAGACTCTGTTGATCAGGTTTGCGAATGGTATGGTACACTCATGGGAAAATCTGCCCAAATCAAACACAGTTCAGAAACGAGGACTGGTTATTATCGCAAAATAGTTCTCCAGGAGTCTCTTAAGTTTCTGCACATTTTGCAAGAAAGGGCCTTTCTCCCTTGTCCTGGACTCCTCTCAAGGATGTTGGTAGAGTGAGCAGCCATGGAAGAGAAGATGGAGACAATGTCTCCTCCAGAGCAAAGGAGACATGCTTGCTAGCCATTAGAAATGATTTGGGTTCATAAAGAAGGTACACACACACACACACACACACACACACACACACACACACACAATGGAATACTACGCAGCAATGAAAAAGAATGACATCTTGCCACTTGCAACAGTGTGGATGGAACTGAAGGGTATTGCGCTAAGTGAGATAAGTCAGTCAGAGAAAGACAGACATGTTTTCACTCATATGTGGAATTTGAGAAACTTAACAGAACACCATGGGGGAAGGGAAGGGAAAAATAAGTTACAAACAGAGAGGGAGCCAAACCATAAGAGACCTTTAAGTACCTTTGGCAAAATAGGAAAGAATATCCAATGGAATAAAGACAGTCTCTTCAGCAAATGGTGCTCGGAAAACTGGACAGCGACATGCAGAAAAATGAACCTGAACCACTTTCTTACACCACACACAAAAGCAAACTCAAAATGGATGAAAGACCTAAATGTAAGACAGAAAGCCATCAAAATCCTAGAGGAGAAAGCAGGCAAAAATCTCTTTGACCTCGGCCGCAGCAACTTCTTACTCAACACATCTCCAGAGGCAAGGGAAACAAAAACAAAAATGAACTATTGGGACCTCATCAAAATAAAAATTTTGTGTTTTCCTTCTGCACAGCGAAGGAAACAGCAAAACTAAAAGGCAACTGACAGAATGGGAGAAGATATTTGCAAAGGACATATCAGATAGAGGGTTAGTATCCAAAATCTATAAAGAACTTCTGAAACTCCACACCCAAAAAACAAATAACCCAGTGAAGAAATGGGCAAAAGACATGAAAAGACACTTCTCCAAAGAGGACCTCCAGATGGCCAACCAACACATGAAAAAATGTTCAACATCACTCATCATCAGGAAAACACAAATAAAAAACCACAATGGGATACCATCTCACACCAGTCAGAATGGCTAACTAACATTAACACTTAGGCAACAAAACACGTTGGTGAGGATATGGAGAAAGAGAATCTCTTCTGCACTGCTGGTGGGAATGCAATTGGTGCAGCCACTCTGGAAAACAGTATGGAGCTTCCTCAAAAACTTAAACATAGAACTACCCTATGAACCAGCAATTGCACTACTGGGTATTTATCCAAACAATACAGGTGTGCGGTTTCGAAGGGGTACATGCACCTCAATGTTTATAGCAGCGCTGTCAACAATAGCCAAAGTATGGAAAGAGCCCAAATGTCCATCGACAGATGCATGGATAAAGAAGCTGTGCTATAGATATATACAGTGAAGTATTACTCAGCAATCAAAAAGAATCTTGCCATGTGGACAGAACTAGAGGGTATCACGTTAAGAGAAATCGGTTGGAGAAAGACAAATATCATATGACTTCATGCTTATGAGGAATTTAGAATATAAAACAGATGAACATAAGGGAAGGGAAGCAAAAAATATATATAAAAATAGGGTGGGGGACAAAACATAAGAGACTCTTAAATATAGAGAACAAACAGAGGGTTCCTCCTAGAGGGGCTGTGGGAGGAGGGATGGGCTAAATGGGTAAGGGCCATTAAGGAATGTACTCCGGAAATTATTGTTGCACTAGATGCTAGCTAACTTGGATATAAATAAATAAATAAATAAATAAATAAATAAATAAGAGAGACTCTTAAGTACAGAGAACAAACTGAGGGTTGATGGGGTGGGGGGGCAGGGAAAATGGGTGATGGGCATTGAGGAGGGCACTTGTTGGGATGAGCACCGGGTGTTGTATGTAAGGGATGAATCACAGGAAGCTACTCCTGAAGCCAAGAGTACACTGTATATGCCGTACATTAGCAAACTTGACAATAAATTATATTAAAGAAAAGGAAAGAAGAGAAAATATTTGGGTTCTCTAAATTTAGAGTCCTCGCCATAATGCAATCCACTGTGTGGATGCCACCTCCGTGGGACTTAGGGACAAGGAGACTAATGTCAATAGGCTGATGATCACACTGTTTACTATGCCATGAGTAATGAAGTCCTTTGTCTCTGATCCAAGAATCTCGTGTCTTCTGCCAGCATGCACAAAACAATGGTGGGGTCACTTCTTAGTCTGCACGTAGAGGGCAATCTCAGCCCCTTCCCAGTCCTTGACAGGGGTACAAAGAAGATCCTAGAAAAGCTGGTGGTAAAGCTTATTCACAGTAGCCATGGTAGGCAGGCCAGCTGTCTGGGAAGCAGTGGGGTTGGACTCTTTCAGACTATTCCCTCACCAAAGAATCTATCACACTGTCATGTAGCCAGCCCAACATCTGTCCCTACCTGTGGCACTGTTGACATGGCAGTCGTTAGGTCCGTTCCTCAGTGGTAGCAAACACCGTGGTGGCAGATATACTCACTCAACTCAATGACAGCCACCAGTGACTGCCTCATTTGGAGGTCAGGTTCACATGGTACCAAGTGGTCTATGCTGAATAGCTGTGACGCTGAAAAACATAATTTATGTTATTGTATTTTCATACTAACAGACACCCAAAATGGGTCATCTTCTCTTCTTGTTTTTCACTGCAAGGTTAATTAACCTGAAATTTCTGTGGAATAAGAAATGGCAAGATGATACAGTGATAAAAATACTACTACTCAACTTTTGGTGTGTGTTTTCTTTGGAGCGAGCACTATGCTGACGGCTTTTCACAAACTATCTCACTTAATGCTCAGGAGAACCCTGTGAGTTAGGTCTTTTCATCATCTCTAATTTACAGATGAGGAAACTGAGGCTTGGACAAGTTAAGAGATTTCTCCACAATCACTCTGCGGGGATGTGATAAGGCTGGCACTCCATCCAGGCAGTGCACCTCTAGAGCCTGATTCTTGGTGGGCTTTCCCTGTGTTTGAAAGGTACAGAGGGTTGGGGCGCCTGGGTGGCTCAGTCGGTTAAATGTCCGACTTCGGCTCAGGTCATGATCTCACAGTTCGTGGGTTCGAGCCCCACATCGGGCTCTGTGCTGACAGCCAGCTCAAAGCCTGGAGCCTGTTTCCAATTCTGTATCTCCCTCTCTCTGACCCTCCCCTATTCGGGTGCTCTCTCTCTCTCTCTCTCTCTCAGAAATAAATAAAACATTAAAAATTTTTTTAAAACCTGAAAGGTGCAGAGGGGTAGCAAGGCCAAGATCCTGTCCTATTGATCAAGCATGAAGAAAGGTTCATTTTATTTTCCAATCCCATCCCTTTGTCACAGTATGTGGCACACAGGAGGGACTCAGTGAAAGCCACTCTTACCCAAGTGTCTTTGGAGAGAGATGCTTCAGGGCAGAAGGGTCCCTTCCAGGCCTCTGAAACTTCCCACCCTCACCTTCAGAACTGATGAACAGCTCCCCCACCCACCCCCCAGAGCTACGCCTTTTTTCAGAGCCTAGAAGCTTCCTAAAGACACTCAGAACTCCAAAGGTGGCACAGAGCCCCTCTACCAGTGGTAGTACCCACCTCCCCACAAGCAGCCCATCATGGTTCCCAGACTCCGTATACTGAGTACTTATTACATGCAGCACCCACTAAGGGTTTCCTAAATGCCAGCTCATTGGAATCCCTGTTTAATAGTGAGGAAATTAAGACATAGAGAAATTGAAGAGTTTTCCCAGTTCCCATAGTTGGTACAAGATGCAGCCAGAAAAATCTAAGGGCAGAAAACCACCGCTGTGCCCACTGCCTCCTGAAATATAACTTCCTTAGGCAGGCTGCTGCTCTCCTGTCCCGCCATTCCCCTAATGAGGCATTGGGAGCCCTGGGTTTGAGTCCTGGCTCTGCTGTTGACTGGCGGTGTGAACTTGGCCAAGTCCCTTGCCTTCTCTGGGCCTCGAGAATCCCCTCCACACAGAGCCTTCCCTACCATTTAAGTAGGTCTGCACACACACACACAAAAAAAGCAGGTCTGCACATTTCCCGGGCCTGGGTCCCCTGCTTCATGGTTCTCCTACCTCAGCGGAGCTAGTCCGGGCCCTCAGGGCCCCACGCACCTGTCTTTAGGCCATTTCTTGGGACCCTTCTCCTTCCTCCCTCCTAAGAGCACCTGTGTATGTTTCCGATCAGACAGGCTTGAGTTCAGTTCCCACACTTGACTCACCTGATGACCTGAGTCTAATTGTTTCATCTTTCAAAGCCTCAGTATCCGCCTTTGGGGGCTCCCTGGGAGGATGTAATAATGTCACAGTGGAAAGCGCATGGTACATAATGGGCGCTCTTGCGGCTCACTCCGTTTAGCCAGTCAACAAACTTCAGCACCTTTTGTGTCCCGGGCCCTGTTGGGATCTGGACACAAAGGTGTGCCTTCCTGGGATGGCTGGGAGACAGAAAATAAAGAAGTAAACACACCTATATGGAAGAATGTCTCAGGGGTGACTGGGTGGCTCAGTGGGTTGAGCATCCGACTCTTGATTTCAGCTCAGGTCATGATCTCACCCAGTCGGGCTCTGCGCTGATATCACAGAGCCTGCCTGGGATTCTCTCTGCCTCTGTCTCTCTGCCCCCACCCTGCTCATGCTTGGGTGCTCTTGCTCTCAAAATAAATAAATAAACATGAAGAAAAAGAAGAAGGTTTCAGGCTGGGGTGAATACCAGCAGGAAACAAATAGGTGATGGGAATCAGAGAGCCAGGGGTGGCTGTTTTAGAAAATAACGTAAAGAAGTGCCTCCTAGACCCCCACCCCCTTCCCTGCAGAGTCAAGAACTCAGCAACTCTGAGGCACAGAGGACCTTGTGGGTCCAGAGAGCAAAGGGAAGCCACTGGAGGCTTTTTAAGCAGGGCAGTAGCATGGTTGGAATCGGTTTTTGGTTTTTTTTAAGTTTATTTATTTTGAGAGAGCGCGCATGCGCATGACAGCACGCACGGGAGGAAGAGAGAGTTCCAAGTAGGCTCCGTGCTGAGGGTGCAGAGCCCAAAGCAGGGCGTCAGATTCTAGATTTTGGCTTGGGTCATGATCTCACAGTTTGTGGGTTCGAGCCCAGCATCGGGCTCTGCACTGATGGTGCTGAGCCTGCTTGGGATTTTCTCTCCCCGCCCCACCCCAGCCCTACTCCACTCTCTCTTTCTCTTTCTCAAAATGAACAAACTTACAAAAAAAGGAGGGGGGGGCGACTCTGGCACCAGGTAGAAGAGGAACCAGGGCAGGCGGAAGTGGCAGTGAGGAGACCTGTTAGGCAGCAGAAACAATCTGGAATGACTGAAAAGGTCATGGTCTCCTCTGACTGAAGGAGAACTCTCTAGGAGGTACGGAAGCACGCTGGTGGGTTCTGGGGAGGCGGGATGGCTGGGTGTAACGACACAGGAGATGCGCCCAGACAGCGGGCAGACCCCAAGAGCCGGACTGTCGAAGTCTGCCCTGCTGGTCCACTCTGCCTCCTTGTCCTCCTGGCTCCATGGCCAATCTCATGTGCTGAGGCTCCCCCTGGGGCCCCCTGCCCGCAGGCCTCCTTCGGGGTTCAGCCTCTCCGAGGCCCGGCTGGACAAGAGGAGACTAGAGTAATATTGCCTCAGCCCAGCCCCCTCCCTGCAGGCAGGCAGCAGGTGGACTGGTGGCCAGGCTCCTGTGGCTCCAGGCTGAGGTTAGTCTGGCAGGAGCCCCTCCCCGCCCCGCCCCCTGCCCTTCAGCCTTCAGCGGCCAGGGCTTCCCTCATTCCCTCTGCTGCCCCTGGTGGTCTCCTTGCCCTCCATCAATGGTCCCTCCCATCCAGGCCCCTCAATCAGCCACACAAGGGTGCCCTCTGTTCCCTGCTGGCTCCCCACTGAGCTTAAGGAGTCTGGTGATGACGACAGAGAATAACATTTACTGAGCACCCAGAATGTGCCTGGTACTGGGCAAGGTGCTTGCTTTCACTGCCCGAAGTCACTGCGTCCCCTCAGCAGCCCCTGAAGAAGGGCTGTCACCACCCCATCCTGCTCTCAGCAGCAGGCGACACTGCTGGCTACACACTCCTCCCAAAACCACTCCTCACCTTTTCCCAATCGTGTCCCTGGTTTTCCTCCGTGCTCCCTCCTGCTTGCTGCCCTGTCTGACTCCTCTCCGACCTAGGAGTGGGGGCCTCCCTGCTTCCCCCAGGGCTCTGTTCTCTCCCAGGCTGAGCCCATCCTTTCCCATGGCCATCGATGCCCCTGTATGCGAGGGACCCCAAGACTATGTTTTCGGGCCAGACCTTCTGTCTGAGCTCTAGACCCCTGGGCTGAGATGTCTCTCTTTGGGTGATACAAGCATCTCAAACTCAGCAAGCCCCAAACAGAGCTCCAGGCTCTTCCCCGCATCTCCCTCTCCTCCGCCACCTTCCTCCCCACCCGCGGGCTCAGGCCAGACACCCGGAGCCGTTCGTGCCACCTGCCTGTCGGGTACCCGCCACTTACCCAGTGTCTAGATTCCCCCTCTCAAATACATCTCCGCTGTGTCCAAGCTATCAGCAATTGCCCTGGTACAATCTCACTGCAGTGACAATAAAACCCAAATTCCTCGCGGTGGCCTCCCACATCCACGTTCTCTCCCACCTTGCACCTTTTTGCTTGCCTTCTTTTAGTTCCTAGAAGAACTGAATCTCTCTCCCCTCCCATCCCCCAGCCCTGCATGCCCTCTGTCCATCCCTGCCCTCAATCCCTCAGGCCTCCTGCGGGCCTCCCTCCCGCTTGGCTGGCTTTACACGTGGCCCTGAATTCCCGTTCCTCTTCCAGCTTTCGGCTTAGAAGTCCCTCTGTCAGAGGGGCTTCCTGGACCTCCGGGTCCCACCACACTCTTGCTCTTCTCTGTCACAGCACCGGCAGGCCTCTATTGTAGCCACCGTCATGTGTCAATTGACGACTTGTCACGTGTCAGTTTCCTCCTCTACAGAGGCTCCAGGAAGGCAGGGATTGGTCCTATACCTTAGCAAGAGCTTGGTACGCGGTGGGTTCCCAGTTTGTTGAATGAATAGATCCCCATTTCACAGGTGAGAAGACTGAGTCTTGGAGAGATGAAGACTCCGACCCTGGTTTGTTCGTGCTGTGTTCCAAGGGGAGCCACAGCCTGCTCTCAACAGGGGAGGGTCAGGTTCAGATGAGTATGAGGAAAAAATGACTACGACCCACTCAGCCCTGAACCCGGCAGGTGGTAAGCTCTCACTACTATTCCCTGCCTCGGTGAGTGATCTGAGCCCTGCGGGAGGGTGGGGCTGTCTCTCACATCCCCTTAGGACGCGCGGCCTCATCCCATCCCTGGGGCACCAGGCCGCAGGAACAGGTCAGAGCCCACTGAGCACTTCGGGCAGTCCCTCCAAAGCTGTCCAAAGAAATCCATCCTCCAAGTAAAAACCATGAGTTTCTCAGACAGGTGTTCCTGGAGGCAAGCTCCTGAACCCCCTCCCCTCGGTCAGACTTCCCCACCCCCACCCCCAGTGCCCAACAGGAGAGGGTTTGGTGTGGCTCTGACTTGGCAGTGTGCTGCTCAGGTTACCCTGGTCACACCCACCCCCTGCTGCGATCTGTGTCAGACACCGAGTCCTGGGGTCTCCTGGCCAGGCCCTCGGCATGGTGGGGGCCCTGGGACACTGCAGTCCTCCAGGGCCTGCTTTCCAGACCGGTGGCCACGCCTGGCTCCTCCGGGGCTTTACCAAACCCAAGGCCCCTCCTCGGCCCCTGCCAACGCCTGCCCTGGGGCCCTGCTGTGCCCCTCCCCAGCCCCCTGGGCCCTCAAGCAGCACCCCCCTCCTCCCGGCTGTTAGCCTGGGAAGGGGGCCAGGCCCTGAGCTCAGACCTTGGCGATTCCAGAGTGTCTGAGGCCCAGAGCCAGCCCCGCCAGCCCGGCCAGACAAGGCGAAGGGGGTGGGGGCAGGGTGGGCACCAGGAAGACATTGGGGGGGGTGAGGAGCGGTGTTGGCAGGGAAGCCGGGCCTCCGGCTTGGGTCTATCTGCCTCTCTTCCGGACCCTCACGGAGGCCCTGGCCAAAGGGTGCCCTCTCCTGGAGCCCCCTCCTCAGAGGGGAGTGGAGCGGCACTAATGAGAAGTGACTCTGGGGTGGTGAGCCCCCTACGTGCGCAAGGGAGGCTGGGAAAGGGCCGAGAGGCCTGGGGTTCCAGCCCCACCTGGCCGCCCGGCGGCCGCGTGACCCGGCCAGGCCCGAATTCCTCCCCCAGCCTCGGTTTCCCGCTCTGACGCGGCCGCCCCGCCCGGAGGAATCCGGCGGCCCGGCCGGCGGCCCAGGTGAGGGCGCTCTGGAAAGCGTCCAGCGCGGCGGCGGCGGCGGCGGGTTCCGGCGGGGCGGGCATCTGGGGTGGGGACCGCCCCCCCCCCCGCCCGGCCTCCGCCCGCCCGCACGCCCTCGCTCCTCCGGGCGGCAGCGGCGACGCTTGAAACTGAAAAAAAAAAAAAAAAAAAAAAAAAAAAAGGCTGTCTCCCTGGCCCGGGGCCAGCGTCCCAGCCCCCTCGCCGCCGCCGCCGCGCCGCAGCCAGGGAAAACAACTGCTCACTTCTCCCTGCGTCCGCCCCGCGCGCTCCCTGCTTCCCGGCGGCCGCGGGAGCCCAGCCCGGCCGGGGGAGGCGCGGAGCGGGCCGGCCGCCCGGCCTTCCTCTCCCCTCGCTCCTCCTCTCCGCCTCGACTCGCTCGGCCTCCGCGCGGCCGCCTCACTTCGGGGCCTTCGCAGCCCTCGCCGGCCCCCACTCCCCACCCCCACCCCCGGCTCGTGGCTGGGCTCCTTCCCGGGGCTCTGGAAGTTTCTGGGCTCCCCGCAGTCCAGCCTCCATCTCTTTGCCTCGCACCGGGCCCCCCGCCCGCGCCCGCCGTCCCCTCCCCGCGCGCTTCCTCTGTTCCTCTCCCTCGCTGCCCTCTCTCCCGGGGCTCCCGGCTTGCTCCCCCCCCAACCCGGGGCGCTGCGACCATAGCCCCGGCCCGGGCGCGCCACCCCGGGTCCTGCGGCCCCGGATGCCCCGGCCCCGCGGGGCTGCTGGCGGCCTGGCCCCTGAGATGCGCGGGGCGGGAGCGGCGGGGCTGCTGGCGCTGCTGCTGCTGCTGCTGCTGGGCCCGGGCGGCGGGGCCGAGGGGGGGCCGGCGGGCGAGCGGGGCGCCGGCGGGGGCGGGGCGCTGGCCCGGGAGCGCTTCAAGGTGGTCTTTGCGCCGGTGATCTGCAAGCGGACCTGTCTCAAGGGCCAGTGTCGGGACAGTTGTCAGCAGGGCTCCAACATGACGCTCATCGGAGAGAACGGCCACAGCACCGATACGCTCACGGGCTCCGGCTTCCGCGTGGGTGAGGGCCCGCGGGCACGGGTGGGGGGCGCGGGACGGCAGGCAGCAGGACAAACGCGGGCTGCCCGGTGGAGTAGGG